CCAACTCGGGCAGTGAAATCCAGTGGCGGTTTGGGATCTCTTTTTAGAGAGTGATTACAATAAAAACTCAAAAATTTAAAGATTCTCTTGGAGAATTTATGGTTCCAGAAAAAATGGCGGGTGTCCAGTGCGTCTCAAATTTGTTCAGACCGCCTGGGATCTTGTTAAATTTGGGTTGATTCCTCCCCTCTCAGGTAGACCCAACTGCTGGTCTAAAGTGGGCCACACTTTGAGCAAGAAAGCGCTTCCGTCTTGCCAACTTACAATTTGTCCTCACCAGGGGTACCTTTCCTAAAGCAAACCTTTCCCTCGTCCACCCTGCTTACCTGCTCACCTATGGCAGGGCCCAGACATTCAGGCACCTGCAGGGCCAGGCAGGAAGTGGGGCGGAGGGCAGCCCACTGGTTTCAGAGAAGGGCCTTTGGTGCCTGTGGAAACCCGAGAGAGTGGCCTCTGCACACAGCTGCCCCGCAGGCCACATTCCCCATGTCAGTTGGAGAGCATGGGCTCTGGATCCTAAGATCCATGGGAGGGAAGGGGGCTTCATCCAGCCCCAGTGACTCTTGGCCTGTGGTCTCCAACACAGAGTGCACGTGCAGCTGGCCTGCAGGCAGGTTCAGTATATCTGTTGCCAGTATTTTCACATAAGAAGCCATCATATCCAATTCCAGTGTTTCTCCTTCTCTTTGAGAATCAGGAAATCTGGCCCCATGGGACCAGCCAGCCCTGCAGGGTTGCTGTGTTGCACAATCCCAGGGGCCTGTTGGTGGCAGCAAGTTGCTGTCATGTTCTGGAGCGCTAAAGCGCTCCTCCCTGCAGAGCAGGTCTGACCTCCGGTTTCCAGCAGCCCCAGGCAGCCCATTCCTGGAATGTGCTAGTAGGGCTGAGATTTCTTGTCCTATTCTCATACTTTCCTCTAAGACTCTCAGAGTTGAGGCTTCTTAGGCTGCTCCTGGATTTAGCAAACAGAAACCTCTTCCTCTAGAGCCATGCGCAGAGTAAGTGAAAGGAAATATTTGTGTGTTTTCATCTTAGAGTGGTGCTCATCTGCTCTCACTCCAAGCTCATGTTATATTTCAGTGGGAATTTGGTAGTGAAGCGGAACCCCAGTCCACTCATGTTCCTTGACGGAATCAGAATGTCTTGGGAATTGGGGATGCCCTCTGTAAACTGGAGTGCGGTGGGAAGTCGAGCGGTTGTGAAGTTTCACTTTTCTCTCTACAAGGGACTCAGGTGACAGAGGTGCCTGCCGGAGGGGTCCTGAGCAGCCACCCTTTGCGTTTGTGCTTTGGAAGTGGGGGCTGAGGTTGAAGACCAAAGGCGCTGGGCTAGGCAATGGCTGGGACACCTGGAGGTTCTGCCTGGAGGGCAGATCACTGCCCATGCGTAGGAACGGGAGACTGGCAGCCCAGCAGCCGCGTGTGCTGGCAGGAGTGAAGAGAGCAGGGGGGGCCTGTCACATTCCGTTAGCTAACAAGCCACTTCCCCTTTGTAACTCGGAGTCCTGGCTTTCAAGGAGCCATGGCGTCCATAACTTTGCTGCCCCTGACCTGTTGCTTTGGGAAGCAGAGGAGTCCAGGGACATGACTGCACAGCCAGGCCGAGCGTGGGGCAGTGCTCAGGCCACTGAAAGAAAAGTGCACCTGCCCCCGCCCAGCTGGACCACAGCCATGAGGTGGTAAGCGGGGCAGCCCGGTGACTCTTGGTCTCCACAGCAGTTTTTTGGGGGGTCAGATAATAAACTCAACTGGGGCCAAGGCTGGAGGGCAGAACTATGACTCCTAGGAGGCCAGGGTATTCCGTAGGACTTGAATAGTGCCCATAATCCAAGATTATCCTCCCAGGTAAGCCGTAGACTTTAAGTAAGTTTACTTATTTAAACTCCTAAGTTTATTAAGAGTTTATTTAATCTTGTCAAGATTTGGATGTTCCTTCACCAAGACATGGAGTTTTCCTAGGATCAAAAGAAAATGAGCGTCAGCTGGGCACAGTGGCTCACTACCCATCATCCCAGCACTTTCTGGAGACCTGGGCTGGGCGTGGTGCCTCACTTCCCTGTTATCCCAGCACTTTTGGAAAGCCAAAGTGGAGGGATTGAGCCCAGGGGTTCGAGACCAGCCTGGGCAAGATGGTAAGACCCTGTCTCTACAAAAAATAAAATAAAAAATTAGCCAGGCATGGTGGCGTGTTTTTGTAGTCCTAGCTACTCAGAGGAGGCTGGGGCAGAAGGATTGTTTGAGCCGGAAAACTCAAGGTTGCGGTGAGCTGTAGTCGCATCAGTGCCCTGCGCCCCGGCCTGGGCAACAGAGTGAGACCTAGTTTCTAAGAAAAATGAAAATAAAAAATTAGCCGAGCAGGATAGCACATGCCTGTAGTTCCAACCGACTCAGGAGGCTCAGGAGGGAGGATCCCTTGAGCCCAACAGTTCAAGGCCACAAAGAGCTATGATAGCATGACTGTACTCCAGCCTTTTTTTTTTTTTTAATTAAAACAAAGGTTTAATTCAGCCTAATTTAGTTCCTCAGAAAGCTATGAAATCATGTCTTCACATGCCTTCCCATTAGACTGTTTCTCATTTTTCCCTTAACACATAAGTCCTCCTAGCCTTCACTGGGGGCAGAACAATTATGAGGATATGATTTGCTCACGAAAGCACCCACATGCCAGTCAGAAGAGTGGTGCCAGTCTATCTGCACGGAGCCCCAGAGGCATGCACTGTGGCCGGGGTTTGTGAGTGGGAAGGGACGAAGCTTTCTGAATGAAGCCGGGAGCACCTGTACTCTCCTGGTGACACCAGTGACCCCTGGCCCTGGCATTGAAGTTCCATCTGAAATGGATGAAGGAAAAATGGGAGCCCATTGGAGAACTTGAATGAAGCTTTGTTACGAAGTTTTAAAATCCACGGGAATCCCACTAGAGAGGGGGCTTTCGTGAGTTGAAGCAGTTGCTTATTACTGCATCACTAATGGTGACTGCCCTTCGTCCCTAATCCCTGCCACACAAGGAAGCCCTTATTGTCTTTGTTTGCCACTTAGTAGCGTTTTTCTATGGGCTTGGTTCAGTTGATTGGGCTCAGTTCCCTATTTGGTTTATAGTGAATTATATTCCAATATGTCACATTTCCTTTAAAGAATAAGGACTTGCAAAGAAATCATCTTCCAAAGTCGTTTCAAACTCAAATATTATCCCTTAAGCAACAATGTCTGATGGCGATTGTAGCCTCATGCCAGCTCATGCTTTGTGATGTTTGTTAAACTTGGCTATGATTTAGTAAATAAAAAACAGTATGGTCATAATATTGGTAACTGGAACTTGAACTCAGTTATATCACATAAAACTTACTCAATTCATTGTCATATTGTGATTCTTTAAAGATAGCAGAATTTAGGAGGTTGATGGAGGCTGGGAAAAGTTCTGAAGGTGACAAGGGCATCTTGGCTTTCTCAAAGTGTCTTCCTACATTCATAACTTTCCTTCTGCCTCAATCCAGGGGAATTAACTAGCTGGACTGAGAGTCTTACGCTTTCTCAGTCATACTAAGGTTACATGAGTTTATGAGAAGCTAGCAGAAGAGGAAGTAAAGAAATTGCTCCATTTTTCTTGGTTAACATGCACCAGAATTAGAAGATGTGAAGAGAGGAAGACAGAGACTCCCGATGTGAACACTGGGCAGGCATGGAGCCCCGGCTGAGAAGGAGAGAACCTCAGTCACGGGGCTGGGCCTGTGCAGCCTCAAGGTTGGTGTCCGTTTCCTTAACAAAGGGAAACCTGTAAAGGAGGAGTGAGGCTTGCTGGGAATTGATGTTAAAACAAGAAGAAATTCCAAACAAGCGTTGAAGAAGACTGGTTTAAACATGGCTTCAAAAATGTGTTGGTTTCAAATTCTGAGTGATTTTCAAGGAGGCCTAATATGCTGACATTAAAAATGATTTAAACCACATGGGATTCATCTATTAAATACTGTTATTGAAATTTGCCCGTGGAATTTCAGTTTTAATTAAAAATCTGAAATGAAAGAAACTGTAAAAAAAAAAAAATAAAATCCTTCTTTACAAATATCGTAAGGTGAGAATACAGTTTGTTCTTTTTCTGAGGTGGAGTCCCCTTCTGGAGTCCAGGCTGGAATGCAGTGGCAGGATCTCAGCTCATTGCAATCTCTGCCTCCCGGATTCAAACAGTTCTCCTGCCTCAGCCTTCCAAGTAACTGGGATTATAGGTGCCCATCACTGTGCTCAGCTTATTTTTGTATTTTTTAGTAGAGACAGGGTTTCACCATATTGGTCATGGTTGGCCAGGCTGGTCTCGAACTCCTGATCTCAGGTGATCTGCCTGCTACGGCCTCCCAAAGTGCTGAGAATACAGGCGTGAGCCACCACGCCCGGCCCAATTAATATGGTTTTTTTAGTTTGTTCTTTCCGTTTATCTCTGTCTCTCTTCTCTCCTCTCTCTTTTTTACAAACTGTCTCGCTTTGTCACCCAGGCTGGAGTACAGTGGTGCAGTCATAACTCACTGCCACCTCAACCTCCTGGGCTCAAGGGATCCTCCCACCTCAGCCCCCCCAAGTTGCTGGGATTACAGACACACATCACCATGCCCAGCTAATTTTATTATTATTGTTATTATTACTATTACTATTATTATTATTTATAGAGATGGGAGTATCAGCATCTTGCCCAGGCTGGTCTCAGGCTCCTGAGCTCAAATGATGCTTACACTGTGCCCAGCCTGAGGTTTCTTTCTTTAAAACATTGTGCCTTTAAGTGTTTCCAGTGTGTTTATAAGTTAATTATCCAAAAGGTCTAGTGTAGCATGTCTCAGTGTGTTGGTGTTATCGGTGCTGTATTTGCTGAACTAACGGCACATCTTGTAGCATTTGCCAGTATCACAGAGTTAAGTTCTGCACACACGGAAGTTTTTTGAATATATATGTTGCCTGTGTACCTACTTTTCCTTTTTGTATTTACGTTAGACTTTATATTTGGCTCTTTTTTCCTTGTAGGGCATGCTGTTGAAGCGAAGTGGCAAATCGTTGAATAAAGAGTGGAAAAAGAAATATGTCACCCTGTGTGACAATGGCGTGCTGACCTATCATCCAAGTTTACATGTGAGTATAGCCCCCTCAGAGCAATTAACAGCTGCAGACCTCAACTAAACACTGTGGGGAAGGGGGACCTGCCAGCAGCCCAGCCTCTTGTGTCTGTTTGAAGTTAAAGTCCTATTTGGTCTCCTGCTCAACTGTGAGATAAATAACACTGTCCCTGACACTGCATTAGACCATATGTCTTTCTCTCTCTTCCCCTCCCTACCAGTCAATCTGTGGCTTTCCAATTCTACAGAGAATTACAATAAAAGGCACAGATGAAGTAAAATTTTAGATGAGAGTAAAAAGACAGGCGCAAGAAGAAAAGAGAAAGGAGGTAGGAGTGATCTATCTGAAAATTGGGAATGAAGGAAACAATTACATTTGAACCCAGGATTTAGCTTTGAACAGCTATGAACAAAAACAAGAAACTAAATGCAGTTCATGATTCGGTTTTTATCGTCAGATAAGAACACATTCCAGTTGATAAGGCAAGAGAAACTTTTCTCTTTGTGTTAATAAAGTTTGTTATATTGGTGGTTTATATAAGATAGATTTATAAACAAAATTAACTTTATTCTTGGGGAAGAAATGCAGACATTTTACCCTTGATAAAATTTAAAGTTGGGGTGTTAATTAGAGTTTCATAGCAACACATTCCATGACTCTTACTTAATGTAGAGAAATGTGGAGATGAGAGTCTGTGGTGTGTATCAGTCCTTCCACTACGTGGTCCCTACGTATCTATGGGGGATTGGTTCTGGGATCCCCCATGGATACCACAGTCCATGGTGCTGGAGTCCCTTATGTAAAATGGCGTAGTGTTTGCATATAATCTAAGCACATCCTCCTGTAATCTTTTAAGTCATTTCTAGATCACTTATAATATGTAATAGAACGTCAATTCTCTGTAAATAGTTACTATGCTGTTGTTTATTTGTGTGATTCCTCACTGTTGTATTCATTTTCATTGTTTCTTTTTTTTTTTTTTT